ATCATTACTGATAATTATAATGACGAGGATGAGGATAGTAACATGGCAGTGCTTTTAAAACTGCACGATAACGATGTAGGCATTACTCAAACCCCACCCTCACCTCCCATACGTGCATCATTTTGCGACTTCTTTTCCTTCAACCCCCCCTCCCCCCCGTCCTCAAAAAAGAGAGTAGCCTAGCCTCTCCACCATTTTGACAATTTCTACTTTTCTAAATGAAAGCTTGATAAATATTGATTAATGATAGTCCTGCTTACCACACCGTAGATCAGGGGCGCGTAGATATGTTGATAGAAATACGGTGGAACCCACGTTTGAGTATCCTTGATACGACGAATATCTGGATGCTATAGACAGAACAAAATAAATTCATCTATGACAGCTATGAGATTTGAGATGATTTTCTCCGGTTTTCCTCCCTCCGGAAAACCTAGCACGCCAAATTCTAATTCAATCTGTGAGTTAGCCGTGACTAAGATCAGCCCATAGGTTGTTTAAAGGTTCAATCTGTGAGATTGAATTTGATTTGTGGTTTATCCATTTCCTGACTTAGATCAGCCAAGAGGTTGTTTCAGAATTTGATCTGTGATTTAGCCATGCCCTGACTCAGATCAGCCAAGAGATTGTTTCAGGGTTGGCAGTGGCAATTCGTACGGATATATAAATAGTGTGGGACTTTTGCTAGTCGGCAAACGGTTACCGTACGAATAGCCACTGCGTTCAGGAATTGATCTGTGATTTAGCCATGCCCTAACCCAGACACTCAGATCAGCAAAAAGGTTGTTTCAGGGTATCGATAAGGTTTTTTTAAAAGAAGTCATACCTTTTCAGTAGTCGCGATGTCTGGATCCGCGCCATCAACATTAGTGTATGGATGGTGGCCAAAAGTGTGCTACAAAAACGAAACACGAGAAATGATACTGAGATTTCCACGGAGTCGCAAAGCCCCAAAATCTAATGCGTTCCAGAATTCATTCCTGGAATCGTTAGTGCGGAATCACCAGCTGACCGCAAGTATTCAAAAATGACTTTTTTTGTGGCTGACAGTGTTTGGCCAACATTTGGAGCAGATAATGAGATTCAAAGACTTTAATCAGCTGATTGAAACTCATCAATTAAATGAATAAAGGGATAAACTTGCTGTCTGCCAGCTAGTTTCGCTCAGTGATACACATTAAATTTGAATGGGATGCTCTAATTTTTACCAGGACTTTCTTGGTGTAGAAAGCTGTATAGACCCCTTGCAGTACTTTGGAATGCAGCTCAATCTGGGGGACAAAACAATAGGTTCCAAATCTGAGGGGATTGGAATTCTTTTGCTTTGTCCTCCCAGATCGAGCTGCTTTGACATCACATGCAAGACTCTATTGTATTCTGGGTTAGGTTTTTTGTTTTGCAGGGTATTGTTAAGCTCAAATTCTTTATCCTTGGCTATAGTTTTATAGTCTTCACACATCAGGTGCCTTGCAACACCAAGAAATGACTAATTTACCTGTAAAATCCAGACATAGTACGAGCAGCCGAGCATGAAGTTGTGCGCTCCCATGCCAAGCGTCTTCCACACCCATGGGGAGTGCGTCACAGCAAAATGACTGGAAAAAGTCAAAATTAACTTGGTGTTAATTTACCATTGAATTAACATTAGATTTGATATCATGAAAAACAAAACACGCAAGGACAGGGACGCTGCTAAACGATGACAATAATGATGCGCAAAGGAAGTAAGTAACAATGGACGATTAGGTTCACAGATAGAATCAGAATCAGAAACATGTGCATGGTTAGTGATTACGATCTAAAAGGGAAGTGGCAATGAATGACTACAGTAGGTTCACCGATTATGGGATCGTGTGCAAAGCATAATTTGATTAGAGTGTATGCCATATATTCGTGAAAAACTTTGTAAGAAATTGCGCAAATTTGCGCAAATTAGTAAGTTCAGTAGACCTCAGTAGGCCGTAGACCAACAAAACTTTGCACTAATTTGTACAATGTTGTTAGTTAACTTTTTCACGGATTTATAGGCAATAATTACAAGACCCAACTTCATTGAACACCAAAATTCGATGCAAAGCAGCGACGCAGACAGATGATTACAAGAATCAGAATTTAGTGATTGACTGGAACCATGCGCAAAGCAAAGACGTGAGGACTCCACTTCAAGAATTTCTGCGCAAGGCATGTGATGCAGATAAAATGGAAACTAGAATCATGCACAACAAAACTGTGTGGTCCAACATGCGCAAACTCTATGCCATGAAGATTTGCGTTCATGGGTACTGGAATGCTGTTGAAAGCCAAATCCATTGAAAGACTAGGTAATTTAATTACTGGAATCACGTATAAGAGAATGCAATTAAAGTGTGGGGTTTATAAGCGATAGAAACATGCGCAAGACTTGAAGTAACAAAGAAGACTACTCACAGCGTGGACCTTACCTAGAATCATGAACAATAGTCATGGCAATAAGTGCACCAAACCAGCCCATAACAATAGCAGACAAGCAAGACAATAGCAAGTGATTAGCCAGCCATGTTAACTATGACAACAAGAATAAAAGAACACTTTAAGTGTAGCTGAAGGAAGGTTCACCTAACATAACAAGAGCAGGAGTGTTTCCACATTTTAAGCCCGGCAGCCTGGCATAGAGCATTAGAACTCCAAAGCAGTGATCGAGTAGCTCCAATGTAAGATGTCTCACATAATCCAGATGACATCTATATCATGTATTGTTTGATGCAATGGTATGAAACAACATATTCACAGCACGATGTGCAAAAGTATGACCACATTTTATGTATTTGCATACTCCTATGCACAGATTTTTGGCTATCAAACAAGATCTTGCATGCCTTATTTGGTCAAATCACCCAGCTTTGCATCGAAATGTGTTGGTTTAACCTATGAAACCTCGTGCATAGAGGTATGCAAATACATCAAGTGTGGTCACACCTTTGCGCATTACACTGTAACCAGTAGAGTAATTACATGGTTGCATTAAACCAATCATATTTACCTGTGCATACCATATGGTAATAAGGATTGCTGGAAAAAGAATGAATCTTAACCAAAGCCAACCTGGATCCTTGGGATCCTAAATCAGACAAGACAAAATAGATTATCTCAATCTACAGCAGTATACAGGGTAATTACTCCTATTCATCCTGGACAATGAGGGATGGAAGACTCTTGTGGTAATAGTTTACAGAGAATACCCTGCTTTACACAGGATAAGTAACCATAGGTGGATATAATGTTTATAAACATTGCCATTATAATGTTAATGTGCCATCCATGTTGACAATAGGATTTGTCACTTTGCAACCTATCCCCACCCTCCTTAGCAATCTTCCACCCCTTGTCTCTTAGCCTATTATACTTCCCTCAGTGCATTCCATTCTCCCCTCTCTCCCTTACTCTCAATCTGTCTTTCTCATTTCCCCTAACATTTCCTTCCACCCATTCTTCCTATTCCTTCCCCCATCACTTTCCTAATTCCATTCTCCCCTCCCAACCCTTCCCTTCTTTCCTCCTAATCTGTCCTTCCCATTTCCCCTAATCTTTCCTCCCACCCATTCCTCTAATCCCTTTCCTCATTCCATTCTCCCATCCCTCCTTAATTTCCTCCCAATCTGTGCGTCCCATTTACCCTAACCTCTCCTCCCACCTATTCCTCTGATCCCCTTAACCATCCCTTTAGTAATTCCATTCTCCCCTCCCTACTTTTCTCCCGATCTGTCCTTCTCATTTCTCCTAATCTCTCTTCCCATCCATTCTTTTGATCTCTTCCACCAATCCCTTCAATCTTTTTTATGATCCCATCCCCCTCCCCCTTACTAGTACAATACTTGACTCACCTTCTTGTTGTCTTTAAAGTATTTCTGCACTCTTTCTCTTGCAGTCTTGAAAAAAAGTCTGAAGAAATATTATTACACATAGTAGTCTAGAAGCTAAGTCTGAAAAGAGGCTTATTTTTCAAGTTGGCTGCACCCCATGGGTGGCCAAGGTTTCTTGGTATCATTTTAAAG